CTATCATTTTAGCATACTGTATTACTCTCCTGAGTAACTAATCACTTTATCCAAAAATCAACACAGAGGTGTTGAGCGTCTACTGTACCCAGGCATGTGCTAGCTTCTTTCCCATGTGTTATCTCATTTATATCTCATAAGGAGGTTATTTCTGTACTTTCTCTCCCTGCTGTACACACTCCTTGTGAGCAGGAATATCACTTTCCCCACCCTTATCCTCTTGGTAACTAACTTTCACAGTGCCTAGAACATAGTAGGTGCTCAACAAATATATGCTGAATGAATTAACAGATCTATAAATAAATTTGGGAGAAAATTTTTTGAAAAGAAAATATAGCTCAACACTATCCCTGTCTTCTTTGTAGATTATTTTAAAACTTAGATGTAGCCCTCCTGCCAGGAGCACTATTTTAAAAAAGGCAATTAAAGAACAGCACACTTGCTGAACATACTCTTCTTGTCAGTCTGAAAGGTCTACATGCATCCTCTTCCAAGCAACATAGTAGTTTCCCCCAAAGCCTGCCACCAGGTACAAACTTCTGTACCACATTTCACACGGAACAGGAATGTCTCCAAGAGTGCCAGACACTCTAAAAATGGTAGAGAAAAAGACACCCAGGTGTTGGAAGAGGACAGGGCACCCCAAAAGTCAGCACCATACTCTCCATCTTTGTATGAACCCCTCTTGGACTTGCCCAATTCCTGACAGAGTAAAACTCCTCTCATCACAAACCACCCTGTTTAAAACTGAAACCCTACACTCTCTCTCCTTCCTTTGCTTTATTTTTCTTGTAATATATTACCACTTAACATATAGAACTTACTTATTAGCCTCTTTTACCCCACTAGGAGATACCCTCCCATACAGGCAGCGTTTTTAACCATCCTATTATTACTAGCCCTAAAGACTGGAACAGAGCCTAGCCCATAGAAGAAGCTCAATAAATGTCTGTTGAATGAATGCTACAATTATTTTATTATTAAACTTTAAATGTATAATATTACCCATTATCAGGATTCCACCAACCCCAAGAAAACCACTTGTTTTCTAAACCCTTTTTATATATATAAATGAGTATAAATATAATATCACTAGAGTCTGGTGCATGAAATTTATGCACTAGGGGGTAGGAGGGGTCCCTCAGCCCAGCCTATGCCCTCTCACAGTCCGGGAGCCCTGCTATCGATCGATCACCCCAAAGAGGTAGGCCCCGCCCAACTGGCCAGGGCTCCACGATGGATGGCCGCCACAGAGGGAGGCCCTGCCCACCTATCGCAGCTGCCTGGGCCTCCCTCTTTGGGGCGATCATGGAGCCCCCCAATTGATCGATCACCCCGCTGGCCAGTGGCCTGGGCCTCCCTCTGCAGGGCAATCATGGGGCGATGGCGGGGCCCCCAACCAATTGCATCACACACACCTTGGCTGGCCTGGCACCAGTGGGTGTCATAGCGTGGTCGTTCGGAAGGTCATCCGGAACGTCTGCTGTTCGGTGGTTCGGTCGATTCGCATATTACACTTTTATTATTATAAATGTTACATTTGCAAATAGACAAGTGAGCACATATCAATACAGATATACTCAATATATCTAACAGACAGAAGAATTCATACAAAGTAGTATAAATTCATAGATGCAACCATGTGCAAAGCACTACTGCTTTACATAGATTTTATTTTTTAATTTTAAAAATAACTTTCAATAGTAACTATTATTTTTTCTTTATAGATGAGAAAACCAGAGTACCAAGACATTAACAAGCCTGGCCCAAATTCACTGAGTTAAGAGGTGACATAGATGACATTCAAATGCGGCTTGCCGTACACACGATGATACTTCTAACCATGATGTCTCCCAGGTAGATATTAAAAGACCAACTTAATTAGGTTTCTGGAAGTGTGGCTGGGCCCAAAAACTCAGTTTTAAATCATGAAAAAGAAGTCAATCAAATGAGAGAGGAAGAGAAAAAAGTAACTGTTCCAGCAATCAGAGATTAAGAGTCTAGTTATAAGAGTCCCTGGATAAGTGAGGACAATGGAAAAGGCACTGGCTTTGAACTTAGATCCTGTGGCTCCTCCCGGGTGATGCTAGGTAAGTTACTTATCCTCTTTGAGCCTCAATTTCAATATTTGGGAGGGCAGTGAAAGGGAGGAGGGAAGAAAAATAAAAGTGGGGGAGGGTATATAAATTATATCAACCAGTAAGATTTGTTATGATCTTTAAAGTGAGATATTTGAAAAGGCATATAAGAGTGCCTGATATAGCCCTGGCCAGGTGGCTCAGTTGGTTGGAGCATTGTCCCGTACACCAAAAGGTTGCAGGTTCAATTCTAGTTGCAGTTCAATCCCAAGTCAGGGGGCAAATGGGAGGCAACCAATTCTCTCTCTCTCTTTCTCTCTCTTCCTCCTTCTAAAAATGAGTAACAACATATCTTCAGGTGAGGATTTAAAATACATATATATTTAAAGAGTAACTGATATATAATAGGTAGTAAATACAGGTTATATTTAATGTCATATTTTATTCATTTCATGAAGAGTAGAACAAATATATGTAGAGAGAGAAAAGAAAACCAACTGCAATAGGTTTCATGAGAATACGGGGAAGATCAAATTAGATCTTAAAATTAATATGCCAGAAGAACGTATAAAACTCTAAATTCAGTCTTACATTTCATTCATCCATTAAGTAACTCCCAATGCCTCTTTGCTAGACAGGTACTGAAGCAGGTACCATCAAGCCTATGAGGCACAGTGATCAACTATACAAATAAGACCTAGTTCAGTAATTTCATTTACTGAATAGATATTTAGTAAATGCTCACCAATACCATTAATTTACTAATGCTTTGTTTTAGAACCATCATAAATTCCTTCAAACTTTCTTTTTCTTTTTAAATATATTTTATTGATTTTTTACAGAGAGGAAGGGAGAGAGATAGATAGTCAGAAACATCGATGAGAGAGAAACATCGATCAGCTGCCTCCTGCACATCTCCCACTGGGGATGTGCCCGCAACCCAGGTACATGCCTCTGACCGGAATCGAACCCGGGACCCCTCAGTCCGCAGGCGGACGCTCTATCCACTGAGCCAAACCGGTTTCGGCTCCTTCAAACTTTCTTAAAGTTCTGCCAGATAACTATAATTTATGCCATCATCTTAACCTATCACAAAGATTTAAAGCTATAAATCTTAATCAAAAAATTTTTTTAAACTTTTGAGTTTCATTTCATGTTATCAGAGCAAATATTTCTCTAGCACTATTTCGTTATAATATAAAGCAGCTTTTTTAGGTAATTGTTACTTGTATAGCATTTATACACTTATAAAGCACGAAAATAAGTATTGATTGGATTTCAAACTGTCTTGTACATTATGAAATTTACCTAAAATACTCAGTACTATTAAGTCAGAATAAACATACTAGCAGAGAAGTCATATTAACAAACCATAAGAGAAACTAGTTGGGTAAGAAGTTACTCAGCAAATCAATATAATTTACTTTTCCTTCTGAAAATATAGTAGGAGTTGAAAGGATTAAGGAGCCGGAAATTATTTTCAGATATAATAACTATATCACAGTTGTAATAAATAATGATAGGCCCAGCACCACAACCAGTTTTCTAAATATTATGATCAAATATCTAATTCATACATTTTAAATTCATAAAGCATATATTTAAATTTTTCCTTGCATTAACATTGATTATTATGGATTTTTATAAAGATAAATTATGTTTTTGTGTTAACTCAGAAGTCCCATTACATAACCTTAAAAAATTTAATTAATTAATTCCACCTCTTGGTATTTGGCCAAAGAAAATAAAAACACTAGTTTGAAAAGATATATGCAGCCCTGTACTCACTGTGGCATTGTTACAATAGACAAGATATGGAAGCAACCTAGGTGTCTTTATAGATGAATACATAAAGAAGATGTGGTATTATGCAATGGAATATTACACAGCAATAAAAAAGAATGAGATCTTGCCATTTTCGATAACATGGATGCATCTAGGTATTATGCTAAGTGAAATAAGTCAGGCAAAGAAAGACAATTACTGTTTGGTTTCACTTATATGTGGAATCTAAAAAGTAAAACAAAACAAAATGAAACAAAAACAGACTCAGAAACAGAGACCAAAGAGATAGTTACCAGAAGGGAGGGGGTGGGGAGATGAGTGAAAAGAAGAAAGGGAATATAGTCAGTAATCTATAATAATAAAAATGTAATATGCTAATTAGACCAGATGACCTTCCGGACAAAGCCAGGGCTGCAAGGGAAGCCCGGGTCTCGGGTGCCTGCTGGTGGCCAGTGGGAAGCCCACGTCCCAGGTGTCAGACGGAAGCCGGTGCCAGCAGCCGGGGGAAGGAAGGCCTACTCTTGTATGAATTTCATGCATCGGGCCTTTAGTATTGTGATAAGTTTACACGGTAACAGATAACTGCTGGAAATGGCAGCACGGTGATCACATTGTAAAATATGAAAATGTTGAGTCACCTGAAACTAATATAGCCAATAAAAGATTGTATATCAACTATACTTAATTTTTTTAATCCAAAAGAGGACATAAATTTCTTGCAAAAATGATCTCATGTACCATAAATGATTTTGTCACTTTCCTAAAATGATATCACTAAAAGTACTTGATTTATTTAATCATGTGGCCTTGTGCATCATGAAATCTAAAAATTCTGAGTTTTATTTAGTGAATAAAGTAAGCAAATAATCAGTATTCTGACAAAGGACTTTTAAAAATATAGTCCTTAAGTTATTCATACTAACATTTCCAAAAATTATGATAATAGTAAAATTACAAATGTGATCAATTTAAACACTTGGTCAGGAGTAACCAGAGAATGACTGTCAGCTCAGCAAAGTCTACTCTATACAGTAAAGAAATCAAAATTTGGAGGATCAGTGGCTCCCAGGTCTTAGAGCTGATCTTCAGAGGGCACAGTGAAGGGTGCTGGTTCACACAAACTTAACATTGTCTAACCTGTCTGCCATGAGCCAGGAAGCCAGCAGGAAGGCTCTGGAGAGGTTAGGTATTACAGTGGGGGCAAACTGGTCACTGGCCAGTGGGACCTAAGTAAAAATAAAAGATTAAGGATTACCTTAAGGCTTCACATGTAATATTCCTACTAGAAAGAATTAGCACCTTTGAGATACTGTAAACAAGCAGTCTCCTTTTTACAAACCAGCAACATTTTACTGTCCTTTCTCCCAAACTATGAGAACTGGTAGATCACCGTTTCAAAGTCTTTGTTTTGAACCCTGTATTTTACATCGTGTCACTGAGCTGAATGAAAGGCCCAGCACAACTGTTGTTGTAACTACTTAATGCATCATCACTACCTATTGGGCAAGACTCAAACTCAGCCAGGGCAACACTAGACTAGCCTATCAACTGCCACTCCTGAAATAAGAAGGAGAAAGGTAACTACTGCCCCTTTTAAGAAAATAATTCTATGGACCAGCACAAAGATTCTGACTAGATTATTATCCTTCCAAATGTGTAGGAAACTAAACCTCTACAATCCCGAGCTGCCCAAACAACTGCTCTCAAGTCAGACAGGCTGCATTGTGAAACCTTCTGCTTCCAACTAAACACAAGGTACTGATCTGCTATCACCATTTTCACACAAAATTAAAGGCTTTTATTTCCATTGAGCTGCCACTTAAGATTTATAAAAAGTTCGTTTTTCCTTCTGTCCTCATAACTCAAGTCCTCACTGAGCATATTTCTTCATCACAGACTGCCAATTTTTGGTATGTTAAAAATCCCATCAAATTACACTTATATGATGTGACAATTAACTGTTACTGATGAATAAAAGAGGTGGATGCTTAAAGTCATTCTGCATTCTATTACTGCACCTATCTAATTTAGGAAAGCTCCTTTAAAAAGGTCCAAAGTTTTTCCTCTTTAATCAGAACTCTAAAAGACTAACTTTGAAAATATATTAAATTGGTTGGGCCAAGAGATGTGTAATAGAATACAGAGCCTCTTGTCCATATACTGCAGAGGTAAAGAAATGTCTCCATTGTCTATTCTTTCAATTTAATTTTTATTATGTTTATAAATTTAAAAATAAGGAGTTCATAAATAACTAAATTTCATATTTAAAAACTGTATTTATAGTTTTCTAGATGTAATGTTTTAATATCTAAAGACATGAGCTCCTTGGATATAATTTCCGACAGGGTCTCCACGTACAGCTGTGCAAGTTGTTCTGTGCACAACACTAGGGGGCACCATTCACATCAGAGAGCACAGATCTATACATTTATTATGACAATTTTCTGCCAACGGGGAGTAAAGTGTCTTTTTCTAACAAAATCAATCTATTATGACAACTTTCCAACATTTGGAACTGGAGTATCTCAAGGAAAGGGTGCCTTTTTCTAATATACACGAAGGAGAAAAACAGACTAGCCGGCTGCTGGAGCTACCTGGCTCCTGTTCCTCTGCCAGTAAGGAGTTGGGGGATGGCCACTCCCAAGTGAACTCCTCTGATAAGGCATGCCAGACTTCCTCCCTGAACTACAGAGTGGAGGTTAATTTCTCTCAAATGAGACATAAAAACACCAACTTTGAAAATACCATCTAGGGTCTTAACTCACTAATGTTTAGTCCACATACATCTGAGTGGATTCAGTCAGTTACAAGGTATGTGGTCACTGTTTCACTACAGTAGTTTCTTAATAAGGCCATCATGAGGCGTCACAAATCAGTTAAATCACTCTCACAAATAAAGCTGTTAAGGTTTCACAAACGCCTTTCTCCTGCTCAACAGCAATGAGCAGTTTATATTGTGACGGACAAAACAAAATTTAACAGCGCTGGAAACCTGAAAGGCTCTTTTGCTTAAGATTAGGTTAAACTGCTGTAAGGCTGGGATGGTTTTTCCTAAAACCAGACTGTAATAAACTTATGGCATTTGATAAGCTGGGATGCCATTTAACAATGTGGTATTGTTTTGTAAATTCTTCCTCTGTTTCCACAGGATTCAGGGAACTACACCAAAGCCATGTTTCAGTTTATTATCTGTTAGTTACAAAAATTATGTTATACTACTAAGTAAATTAGAAGTCAACTAGTAACACAATAAAATGATTTCAAAGTTAATATGTATAATGTATTACATATAGCTTTATTCTAATAATACATAACATTTTAATTCTTTTATCTTTATAACTATTTATAAATGACTACACAAAAAGTCACATATTCCTGCTGTGAAAATGATGCCATCAATTGACTAAAACTTTTTTATGTTATTTTCGAGCTAAGCAGATTTCTACAGCAAAACACCAAACCACAGAAGCCTTCCATCTTAGTTCTAGGTCTTCCATTCACATGGCCTGGGTCTCAGTTTCTTAGTCTAGGCCTTACTTTCGTCAAATTTAAAATAATAGATTATGCTACTCCAAGATCATCTGTAATATCTCTTTTGGAGCTAAAATTCTATTATTTTTCTTGAATGTAAGTTATGCAAATTCCAAAACTATTTTTTTTTCATGTGGTGGCACAATTTCTTTTAATCATCATCTCTTAGGATACTATATAATATTAATTTGAACTTTAGAACTTTACCATATACTTAGACTCAAGAAATAAAGTAACTGTGTATACAGCAATCTGCATGACAATGTAGAAACACAAATAGAAAAAACGTACTTTTATCCTGAGGGAGAAAGCTGTGCTTTAAACCCTCAGTGTTAACAATTCATTAGGAGTCAAGACAGGTACATGGCACTATGGAGTGATACGAATGCCATGCGGGAAGCACAAGAGGCAGATAAGAGAGTGAGGGAGTGGGAGCTTGGCCTCCTTAGAGTGAGCCGGAATGGAATGCCAGTTCCACCGCTTATGGGAAGAGTGACCCTGGGAGAGTTGCTGAGCCTGAGACGCTGTTTCCAGGTACAAAGAGAGGGACCACTGGATTCAGAGTTTGCATAACTGCTTAAGAACAGAATTTTAAGTTATCCTCATGACATTTATTTTCATACCCCATCTTCAATAATAACCCAACCTAAAGAAAAGAAAGTTTATAGTTTCTAATCCCTTCCATCTTTATATGCCTTCTTCAATAAACATGCACCGGTTTTTCTTCAAATTGCAATTCTTCAATAAACTTCTTCTTTAGCCATTATTACTTATATCATGTCCAAAGTAGTAATATTCAAATACAAATTATAAACATTAAATTGAAATAAAGGGAATCTATAGAAACAAATATTTTAAATAAATTGCTTTTGCCTCAGATTGTAAATCTTTTAGATAAAAATAAAAGTTTCTGGAGCTCTAATGTAATCAATCTGTTATCATTCTCTCACAGTAAGATAATTACTAGCCTCTTTACTCTTGGGGAACTTTGACATAAGATCCTAACAAATAAAACTTCTCTACTATGTAGAATATTAATTGAATAATTGATCCTGTATTAATTTTTGGATAGAAATATCTTCTTTTATAGTTGGCAGAGATGATGTATTGAATTCTCTAACTAGCCTATTAAATGTTCCTTTTCTACAAAGTGCCAAATTAAATTGTCTTTTAAATTAAAAAAACAAAACTATGTACAAGCCTTCATTTCTTTGAAAACACCAGTTGATATCAGATTATAATATAAATGTATTCCAGAAATGGGTGTAGCTCAAATATCTAGATATCATTTCATATTTTCCAATTAATTTACATTATAATTTCAGAAATGTCTCATAGGAGGGAAAAAAATGGCCCCACTACATAATCTAAATCTCACGTAAGAATCCTAATATACACTTCAAAGCACTTCTTTGTTAGTGTGTGGTCCCTATGCATTTAATTTTCCATCATAAGCTACAAAATAGTTAAGTCAAATGGACAGTCGTTCCACAAGATCTGAGAACACTTATTTAAATACACAAATAGATTTAAGTACATCAGAAAGTTAAGACCCATTTCACTGATATTTTATATCCCACTGGGCATGAACAATTAAATTACCATATTGTCCATGCCACTGCTGTTACAGGTATTTACAATAACTTACTTGGTTGAAAATAAGTAAAAGAAAAAAAAAATCTGTTCAAATTAGATAAATTCTGCTCTGCACATTGGGCAGCTCACTAAATGAGTGGCTGGAATACTGGGTTCTGGTCTCACAAGAGCCACTGTAAACTCAGTGACCTGGGTCAAGCCACTCAATAACCCTGAGCCTATTTCTATTTCCTCACCTGCAAAATGAAAATAATGATACCCTACTACCTATCTACCTCACAGAATAATTTTAAAGAGTAAAAGGTCAGTGAAAATCACAATGTAAACTCTAGACTGCAATAACAAGTGGAAATAAGCTATGTTACTACTGTGCCTTTAACGGTGACAACCTTATAATAAAGATTTGATGATTTGATGATTTAATGATGAGACTGTGCTAAAGATGGAGGAGGGCTCTCTGAAGAAATTTTTTCCAAGGCTAGGAAGGTTGGGCAGAATAAACTGTTTTTGTAAGGGCAAAGGGAAACTTCCTGTATTTACTATAAGGCATCAGAAATGCAAATGAGAGCATAGTAACTTATTAATTGTGCAGAAGTGAAACTGCTTTAAATAAACATGTCCTAAATGAGACTGAGCTATAAGAAGGGGTAAGGAGGTACCCATCTAGACCTTTATGGCAGAGCAGAAAAGGATGGATATCTTCATCTGGCCAGCTTCTAAAGGACAGCTAATGCCTTCACTTCTCAGGGAGGAAATGTTTGCTCTCCCCAACTCTGATAGCACTCAATAAAATGCATGACAGGTTTATTTTATGACCACAAAATTAGAATTTGTAGTACCTTTTAAAGAAGTCTGAATAAGAAAATTCCAAAAAGAGGAACAAAAATGCCAAGTACCTTGTTTCACTTATGTGTAAATAAATCCAGTTCTAATTGTAATAGTATACATTGTGCTGATCTATGACATATCCCAGCTTTAGTGGTGGGAGAAGAAGGTATAATAGCATACAAGAAATAATTCTATTGTAAATTCCATTTTCTTCATTGATAATACGTCAATAAAAGTATGTTAACAATGATCTTTAAATAAACAACTGTAA